AAGAGAATTCTCTTTGTAATAGATAGATTCAAAATCATATGAGAGTCGATTAGGGTTTCTTGAGAGTTTGTAATTTCTATTTCAATAAAAGAAAAACAGCCGTTGTTTCTTTGTTTAATCTTATCGTTTACTTTCTCTTACAAACTTCTAGTGTAAATAGTTCTACTGTCAGATCTGGGCTATAACAATCTTCCTCAGAAAGTCCACCAAAGAGAGCGTTCAGAAGCTTGAGAAGCATTTATGACAATACAAGAAGAATAGAGTTCAATGATGTTGCAGATTTTGCACTATTTTATGATGCAGATACCATATTTTATAAGGAGGCATGTCAAGAAGAGAAGTGGATGGATGCTATGGACATGGAGATGGAAGATATCATCAAGAATGACACCTGGGAATTGGTGAATCTTCCAAAGGATCACAAGCCAATCGGAGTTAAATGGATTTACAAAACAAAGTTGAATGAGAAAGGAGAAGTTGACAGATACAAGGCAAGGTTAGTAGTTAAAAGTTACAAACAAAAGTATGGCATTGATTATCAAGAAGTATTTGCTCTTCTTATTAGGTTGGAAACTGTTAGATTAGTTCTTGCTATTGCTGCTCAACATAACTGGAAGGTGCACCAGATGGATGTTAAGTCAACTTTTTTGAGTGGAAACCTTGAAGAAGATGTCTTTATGGATCAACCAGAGGGATATTTAAGGAAAAGAGAAGAATACAAAGTCTACCATTTAAAGAAGGCTTTGTATGGGTTGAAACAAGCACCACATGCTTGGTACAATAGAATTGAAGGATATTTTTAACTAATGGGTTCAAGAAATGTCCTCAAGAGCACACTCTATTCACTCAAAAGGATGAAGGTATGATACTTATAATATGCATCTATGTAGATTATTTAGTGTTCATTGTGATTCACAAGAGATGATAGATGAATTCAAGGCATCAATGACGAGGGGATTTGATATGACTGATATAAGTATGCTTCATTATTTTTTGGGAATTGAAGTTAAGCAAGAAGAAGAGAAGATCAAAATCTCACAACAAAAGTATGCTCATAACCTACCGGATAAATTCAACATGGGGCAATCCATTCCTGTAAGTACTCCTATGGAATTTGGACTAAAATTATCAAAGGATAGCAAGGATGAAGAAGTAGATCCTAGTCTATACCGAAGCTTGGTTGGTAGCCTCATCCACTTGACTGCTACTAGGCCTGACATGGTCTTTTTCAGTGAGCATGATTAGCAGATTTATGGAGTCACCTAAAGTAAGTCATTGGGAAGCAGGGAAAAGGATAATTAAGTAAATCAAAGGTACTCTTGATCATGGTATTGTCTATTCCAAAAGTAAGGATTTCAGGCTTATATGATACAGTGACAGTGACTTTGGAGGAAATCTAGATGATGGGAAAAGTACAACAGGGTATTTTTTCAGCTTAGGATGTGGGTGTATATCTTGGCAATCCAAGAAACAAAGTGTTGTGTCCTTATCCTCTGTTGAAGCATAATACATATCCCTATCAATAGTTGGTTGTCAAACTTTGTGGTTAAGGTCAATAGTGCATGAATTGGAGCAGTCACAAGGTGATCCCACTACTATCTACTGTGATAATAAGTCTGCAATTACTTTGTCCAAGAATCCTGTATTTCATGTGAAAAGCAAGCACATAAGGATAAAGTTTCATTTTATCCGTGAATTAGTTGCTAATGGAGAAGTAAAGATTGAGTTTCATGAGACAAAGGAACAAGTAGCAGACTATTTTACAAAGGCTCTTCAAGTTGGAAGCTTCAAAGTTGTGAAAGAAAGTTTGGGAGTTGTACCATTACTAGCTTAAGGGGGTGTGTTAAATGTAAGCTAGTCATGATAGTCAAGTTAGTTGATCAAGAAAGGTAGTTATCATAGTTGACGGTTATATAACCGTCAACTTTTGTATAGTTGTGTCGTTTGGATAAAGGGTTACATCCTTTGGTCTGTATATGTATGTATTTGTGTCTATGTTACTGGAATTATTACAATAAATATTTATATTGTATGAATATTGATCCAACACATACGACTAGAACCACGATCTATGTCAGCAACCCTAGTACATAACTCTTTGGATTAAGACTATGACTTTGATGTAGTTGTCTTGGTATTATTCATCCTCTTTATGATCTCACAAACCTATTCTAAATCTTGACATTTTGAACTCCTGTACATCGATCCTTCACCAACATAGATCTTTCGATTTACCAAGAAATCAACAAATCCAGATGTAAGGCAGAACTACTCAAACCACAAACGAGCTGTAACAAGACATGTGTGATCACCCGAACTTAAAATTAAGATCGAAAGATTGACAACAACAAATAGGCTTAGATAACAAAATTATAATGTTGAGGTCAAACAAAAGATTCCAAATGATTACAAAATATCATCAAGCCAAACAATTGACCGTATATCCTCTGCACGCATATTGGAAAATATTATCCAAACCAACCCAAATACTCATTACAATATTGTTGAAAAATCTTCTAAAGCAACACGTATAAAGTTTCTTGCTAGAACCCAACATCTTCACCAGTTCTTAGTTCCCTCCAGACCAGATTGAACTCTTGTTGCTAGAGTCATCCTCAAAATTGGTCATACGTGACATATTCATATTATGAACGACAACTTCCTGCTCTTCATTCTCTTGGAACATGCTTAGGCACAACTCACTCGGGCGTCACTCATTTCGCAACAAATGATTCTCTTAGTTTCCTGGGATTCATTGTGGCTGCACTTCCTTTTGATCTCATCATTGCCACAAACTCATCATAGTTGATCCGACCATCCTGCAAAGTTAATATATAGCCATTTAGATTCAGGCAACCTCAAAAGTAAAACCGCTTAAACATTATGCAACTTTTTGCTTTGTTCAATCATCCCTTGCTGAATCTCGTATATCTAGTAACCCGTATAGGTATATCAATATCTCAAGAACTTACATGATCTGTGTCAACATCAGATACAATCTCTTTTATGTCCTTTTCGTTATTTATTCCATATTCGCGGAGAGCCTGCTCTAGTTCTTCTATTGTAATGTACCTGACAATAAAGAAGTTCATTAAAGATTAGAAATTGTCCTTTTTTTCGTTGATAAACTATAACTACTGGCAATTTAGTTACCCGCTGTTATCTTTATCGAAGTACTGGAATGCAGTGTACAGATGATCTTCTTTATCCATTCGGTTCATATGCATTGTTGCTGTTATGAACTCTTCATAATCTATGGTTCCATTTCCATCTGCATCAGCCTGTTAATTTTTGTCCAAGAGAACCATGAATTTTGTGACCATATTTATATTTCCCATAAGTTGTAGAAATTCAAGTAACAAAATTTGATCAAATTTGGTAGTCTTACAGCTTCCATCAATTGTTTGACTTCAGATTCGGATAATCTTGTCCCTTGCTTGGATAGTCCTAGTTTCAGTTCCTCAAGGGTTATCGTCCCATTGTTATCGCTGTCCATGCCTTTGAACATTTGCTTCAGTCCCATGATTTCTTCCTCCGAAAGGCATCCTGCAATAACCTGCTCATTCCGAAAATAATCATAAAATCAGATATCTGATTCTTCAAGTTATGTAGGAAAAGAATTGCCATCCTTTCACAGATCATATGTAAAATTGTGCAATTTAAGGAATAACTGAAGATAATCAAACCACAAAGAATTAGTAGGTACCCGAAGAGCAACTTTCTTGAACTTATTCATTGCCCTAAATTGTTTTAGTCTGCCAAGTACAGCATTGTCAAGTGGTGTATCGGGTGCTTCTCCATCTTCCACAATCCATGGATGAGCTAAAAAACAAAGATAAAACAACAAATCAAGATTATATCAGTGCATGCCTCTGTATATGATGCATTGGTGATAATCTTCATTCCATGATACTAATTCCTTATAGCATTTTAACCACAAATAAATTTGCATAATCGTGTGCCCATATTTTGTCGAAATACTCTCTATACTTGTATTCCATTGAGTACTTACAAAGCACTTGATGTGCAGTCAACCTATGTTTCGGATCTGAAGTCAACATCTTCTTTACAAGATCCTTGGCATGATGAGATATCGAAGGCCAGGGATCACTCGTGAAATCAATGTGTCCCCGCAAGATTGCATTGAAAATCCCATGTTCCGATTCTGCATCACCGCAATTTTCATTCTTAATTTCATGGAATTGTTATTTTAGAAATTGCTAATTAATTCGAAAAGTTGACGATCACCTGCCCAGAAAGGAGGAACTCCACTTAGAAGAATATATAACATCACCCCGATACTCCAGATATCAACTTCTGGTCCATATTTTCTCTTCAAGACTTCAGGTGCGATATAATATGCGCTTCCCACAATATCTTTGAATACTTCACCTGCACGATCGAAGAGGCGAAGAATGAAAATCCATCTTCAAGAAACATGCAAATTTAATAAGGGATTTAGATGATTCTAATCTGGGAATAATAATGAACCAAGAAAAATAAATATTGAAGATGGAACTTATTTGATATATGTGTAACCTTGTTTATAGAACACAGAAAGACCAAAGTCGGTAGCTTTAAGGGGAGAATTCTCATCCTTATTCAAAAGTAGGAAATTTTCAGGCTTAAGATCTCTATGAATGACACCCATGGAATGGCAGGTATGAACGATTTGAACGATGGTCCTAAGCAACGATGCTGCAGCCCTCTCCGTATAATGGCCCTTGGCAATGATCCGATCAAACAATTCTCCCCCGGCACACAACTCCATCACCAAATGGACAGAATGTTTGTCCTCAAACGCCCCCTTCAACTCAACAATATTTGGATGGCCAGCCAAATGATGCATGATCTGCACTTCCCTCCTCACATCCTCAACGTCTTCTTTATTCGCAAGTTTCCTCTTTGCTATTGTTTTGCATGCAAACTGTTTCCCCGTCTTCTTGCAGGTGCACAAATGGGTGACACCAAACTGGCCCCTACCAAGCTCTTTGCCTATGGTGTAAAGGGTTCGAACATCTTCCATTGGACGTCCTAAAACTGTTCCAATAGGTGATTGCTTGCCATTCTTCGATGCTGGAGCTGTAGAGGCCGCAGCTGCTGCTGCCGCCGTGGTAGCGGGTTTTGGAGTTTCTGTTGGTGTGTTTTCTTTATCTGGCCTCTCTGCAACAGCTAATTTCTGGGCTTCAGGTTGATCTGCATCTTGAGGTTGAACTTGGGAACAACAGTTCCCCATTGGGATGTTTGGAGGGAGGAGGGGGCCGAGCCTGGACCGGAGAGAACAACAACACGAATGGGTTTTGGGCAATTGACCTAAAGGAAGGTTTAGGGACTTAGAAAGGGAATGGAGAGAGAGAGAGAAAAAGAGATGGAAGTGTACGGAAGCATAGATGAATATTGGAGAGGGATTGTAGGAATGGAAATGGTGGATTGGCTTTTCCTTCGTTGACCACAACTTGGATCAATCTTTTGTTTGTTACCAATTATGTACTTTTCTATTTTGGGATATTAACCATTCTTATCACCTTTTAAATACAAGGCTGTAAATCTTCTACTTTTGATGAAATGAGTTTCCACTCTTATCTGTTTGTTACAGTTTTTATACAAAACAGAAATAAGTACTTTTTATAACAAAATAAAATCTTAAAAAGCTTTTGTCAAGATAATTAAAAAAACATCAACATCTAATTTTAAAAGCATAGATATCATATAATGTTTTACGAAAAACACCAGTTAAATTTTACAAAATTTAGATATGATAGATTGATGATTAACACGATATATTTATGATGGTTGTTTAGACGAGATGTTTTATAAAACAATTTAAATAAATGAGGATAAATGTTAATTGTTAAAAAGGCTTTTTAAAAGGGCTTTTTTTTCGAAAACTGTCTTGTGGTTCGAAGAGTGTTTCTTTAGTTGGCTTTGTTTTCGCACTCTTGGAGCTTGGAGTACATAAAAACCCGACTTATCTAACCAACCCTACAAAACCCAATATGAAATAACCTAACCTAACCCATTCAGAAGTCACTTAATACCTAACTGAGTTGTAAAATCTTCAAACCATTGGTATTGGAATGAAATTGGGTTTGGACTTTTTGAACCCAACTCAATCGATAAACCCGATGTCTTTTATAGCATAAATTTGTAACAGCTAATTCAAACCATATTGGTTAATAGCATTTATAGAGCAAAAAATTTTATTACACAACAAAATAATCACAGTTCTAGATGTTAGGGTACATATATATATATATATATATAGAATGTTTACTTTGTAAACCATGTTATTTATACAAACCATACAAACCTCATTCAATTAATCATAATTTTTCATTTTTTTCATTTTTTTTGTAATTATAACAGGCTAATTAATCATTTTTATTGTGAATGATGTTAATCATTGATATTATTATCTTCATTATATTAATTTTAAATAAATATCGAAACAATTTCATAATCATATATGAAACAATTTCATAACCATATATGAAACAACTTCATCTAGAAAAGTATTATATGAAATAATTTCATAATATTAAATAATTTCATGAAATAAAATCATTAAACTAAACAATAAAATCAATGGATAAAGGTGGTTTGTACGGTTTGTACAAATATGAGTGGTTTGCATTTGATCAGTCCATATATATAAACCCAAAACTAACTATACAAAAATGAGATCGCTTGTAAAGTTAGCCTCCAAAAATTCAATCCTGGTCTCTCAATGCGAATAATTCCTCAACGTATCTCTAGAACCTGCCAAAAAACATGGCAGAGTAATAACTCAGTAAAGAGATCAACAATATTAACAATAAGCAATATAGGATACGAACAAATTATCCTTATAACCACGAAAATGATAAAAGAAATCAATTAAATATCACAAAGATATTATGTTAAACCTCATAATTCATAAAGTGAAAAAGTAATGAAAAACAATAAGGGATGAAGAACCAGAAGACCGATGGAGACATCAAGGCAGAATTGACTAAGTCTAGAGCACAACCAGAGGACCGATGGACGACCAAGGATGTGATGGAAAGAACATCTTCATCGAACCTCTGGTCAACTACACTTAGAGTATTTTCCAGCAATTCATCTAGAAGCATGCGATGAAGACTTAAAGATAAATATGATCCATCATACCATGAATGACAGCTGGAGATGACAAGTCAACATCTAGATTTCGAGTTTATCTTAATTACTAAAGTTTATCCATAGTGTAGATAATCGTTATCTGTTATTAGAAAATTAGCTAAAAAGTCTCATTAGATAGTTATCTTCTTATTAGTATAAATAGGTGATTAGGCCTATTGTAATCTAAGTCGCTTTTACGTTTTTATTATTAATAAAGTAAAATCTTTGAAGCTCAAGATTGTTCATAATTGTTCATAATTTCTTCTTGAGTGTTCATCACTTTGTTCATCAAATCGCTATAATTTGGTTATTATTAACTAGATTATTAGTGTTATTGAGAGATCTGGGATCAACATATTACAAGATGGTTCACGTAATCACTCCATTCAATATTTCTTGTTATTCAAGTTCATATAAATCACTCGAGTTCACTAAACCCACTATTCTATAGGCATAAGTCACTACAAAAATGAGGAGTATCAACTATGGAAAAATCAGTCGCAAATTTGACGATAAAGGCCTGCACTGTCACTGATCTGTCGTTGATCCTTCGTCGGTCTAAAGCTCATAGGTAATGCTATCAACGACGGATTAGTGACGGAAGCTTTCAGCGACGAATTAGTGAGGGAAGCTTCCAACAACGATTAGCGACGAAAACTTTCAACGATAGATTAGCGACGTATTTTTCAGCGACGGATTAGCGAGGGAACCTTTCAGCAATGGATTAGAGACGGATAAGTGAGAGACTTTTAGTGACGGATTAGCGAGGGACCAGAAACTTTTAGCGACAGATTTTCCATCGCTATTTATTATTAATTTAAAAATAAATAATTTATAATTACATAATTCTAATATTTATTTATACAAAATCTGACCATAAAATAACAAAAGAAAATTGTGAACAGATTAAAATTGATCAATTCATATAATTTAATATATCCAATTCATCCAATTTAAAATATCTAATGCATACAATTTAATGTTCAAATTCAAACAATCTAACTGCTGGGAGGTGGGGGAGAGGGAAAAACATATCCTGACTGCCGCATAAATGCAACAAAATGCTCAAATAAGGCGACCTGTTCGGCTAACTAGGCAACATGTATAGCCTATTCGGCCTCCAGATCTACCATACTTTTCTATTCAGCCTTCATCTCGGTCTGATAGTGTTCCTCCTGTAGCCACGCCTTCCCCTCTACCCTTGCCAACTTCTCTTTCAACTTTGCTGCTTGTAAATATTCAATCGACAAAATCAGTAATTTGTTCAAAGTGAAAGTAATTAGAAAGTATATAACAATATAACCAACATGCCTCTGATGTTGAATCGTATGATCTTTCGGTCCTACTACTACATCTACCAGTCATAGCATAGGAGGGATGTTAGGAGGTCCCGAAACCAAAAAGACGGTCCTTCTTCCGTCCTCCAACACTCTGCTCCCAAAGAGATGCCTCATCAGGGGGAGGGGTGTCAATACTAGACTATGACTCATCCCTAAGCGATTGAAATCGCTCTTATTGTTCACCAAAACAAAAACGGGTGAGGTTATATATGTAGAAATTTTAGCAGCATAACGACTATAAACGAAACATATCCAATGCCTGTTTTTAACAATTAAAGCATTCTAATTATCAATGTTAGTCACATTCTCAACCTATCTACTTAGCCTAACGTATGTCCAACAATGGCAGCCCAAACTAATAGCATCACTATGGTTATTAAAATATATTACTTTAAACCTACCAAACGTATCCATAAACTAAAGTAATGGTTTTAGAAAACTTACATGATACCTAGCTGCTTTGGGGTAACTAAACTGAGGAGGATCAGTCGGTGGGCCGAATGAACCTTGATCGAACTTTTGATTCGTGTAGTGAGTATGCTCAAACACCTCAATACCAGTTGGCTCACGACCCATTACCTGCGCCTACATTAGACAATCAGGTTAACTTTTTAGTAAACATAGAGAACAAATTACATATTCAAAAAAATTATATACGCACCACCATGTCTCGATGCTGTGCAGTACTGATCAATCCCCTGGTGTGCCTAGACGACACCCCCTCAAACTGTGTGTTTTGGTTGGCCTTATTGATCCTAGATTTCCTTTTCCAAAGCTCGGTATCCCAAACCTGTTAAAAACATAACACATTATAAGTTGGTACAAAACACATAGCAGTTCATAAAGCTTATAATAGAGATATATATTTGGTTAATCATATGAATCCAAGACCTCTCTAGGATCCATATAGGGCAGTGCAATCTAATCCGTGAGAAGTCCTCAACATCCCATTGTTGAGCACTGGAATAGGCCTATGCCAAGGCCCAGTCACGTGCAATGCTCATCCAATCTGAGTACCTATTGTGCATGACTTTGGTCCATAAATCACGAACCATATCATCCAGCTCTAATTCCTATTGGAACTTAGACTACATACACAGTATTTGTATTAATGTAAAAACAATAACCTTATATGTATAATTACATTAAATGGGTACACCAACCCGAAAGCACTAGAACATCAAGTCCCGGGCTTCCGGAGGGACTTCCTTCCATATATGCCACGAACCAACAAAGGACGACCTAAATATAGTTGTCATATCCTGGCTAAGATGGGCATCTTTAAATCTGCACAATTTATAAAAAAATATACAATACAAAAGACACTTATATCATTTTATTATGTAATACAAAGTCTTATAACACATCTACTTACTTGTTGCCTAACAAAGAAAGATATGGTCTCTGGCTCAGATGATTGGGTGTCGGCATCTCATGGTTGAGGCCTCTCCCCTCGACCACAAAACAGTCAAAGCTAGAGCCTCCACCTTTTGCTCATCTATATCCTGGAGGTCGGTCTTCTTGAACTCCACCATGTCATCGGCGTGCGGGTCGCCACACCCTCAGTAGAGTTGCTGCCCCTACCAAACATAGGGCTACCTCTACTACCATGATGGCCTCGACCATGCTCTTGAAAAAACAAACATTAAATTCTATACTAAAAAAATAATGACAAATAGTGATTATATACAATTGTGAAATAAGCATATAGAAGACAAGCTACTCATCAGATAACATTAGTTCATCTTCATCATTT